TAATAACAACAACAATAATAATAACAATAATAATAATAATAATGATAATAATAAAAAATAAATCAGCAAACCACAAGGCACTCACTCATGCCAGAATTTAATACTTACTTATTTTGTTTTGGGAAAAATACAAACCAATTCCTTTCTCTTCTCCTCCCTAATTTTTGTAATGACATTTCAAACTTGTCAGTCTACGGTGCAAAAAATCTTAACCCAAAAGTAAGAATTTCTGCTAAAAATTAATTGAACAGAAAATGCATAGTCTGCCTTCTCCTGATCCTTTATTCATCAGTGTAGAATCAATAAAACATTATTTTAAAAGGAAGAAGAAGGTCTTGTATATAGCTGCTCTCTTGGCCAGATTTCAAAGCAGCTAATTAAATCCTGTCTGCCTTAACTCCTCCTGTAGTTTCCATTTAGTGAGTTGTGCATTGCCCTATTTTATCAGCACTGACTTGGCAAAATGCTCTAGGGCAGCATCCCCCAGGCAAGACTGTTTTCTGTGGTAGGAAGAATGGTCCACAGAGGCCCCCACTCAAAAAAGTGGGTGGGCATGAACTTCTCCAAGCTACAGACGCCAGGCATGCCATTCCTTCCCACTGGATTTCTTCCCATTAAGTCCTAGCTCCGCTTTTCCTAGCTGCTGACCGTGCACAGGCTTGCCGTACCGCAGCGTGTGATGTCTGGCATCACTCGAGCCTGCTGGGCAGTATTTATTCGGATGGATCCCTGGGCAGTCAAACACCAGTACCTTCTAGCTCTCTAGCTGTAGCTAGCAGTACCTTCTAGCTCTCTAGCTGACTGGCCAGCGTGCGTGTGTACCCCTGGGAGCTGGGAGCAACCAGTCTTTTGCCTGGCTGGCCACCCAGTTAGCAGGTAGAGTTTCTCTGCTTGAGAGTCTGCCTGCCTTGCTGTGAGGCATGGATACCCTGTGTCTTTAGGGGTCCAAGTGTCACAGGCACCCCACGTGCACTGGTGTGCCAGCACAGTTCGCCGGTAAGCTGTGTTCTGCTTTGGGCTGTGCTTCAGTTGGCCTCTTGCATGCACTTTCATTTTAGAAGGCTTTTAGAGCCTTTAGAAAATGAAAGCAATGTGGAAATGCATAATGTCAATATTATTATTTTATTTAGTATGCAATTATAGTTTCATTCAGTGTAGAAAATGTACATACAGAGCACAGAGCGCCACGGGAGGCTGGTGTTAGATGCATAGGCTTTAAAGCCAGATAATTCCATGTGTAAGAGTAACACATTTTATGGTTTTAAACTGAAAGAGAGTAGACTTAGATTGGACATTAGGAAGAAATTTTTTACTATGAGGGTGGTGAGACACTGAAACAGGTTGCCCAGAGAAGTTGTGGATGCCCCATCATTGAAAGTGTTCAAGGCCAGACTGGATGGGGCTTTGAGCAACCTGATCTGGTGGAAGATGTCCCTGCTCATGGCAGGGGAGTTGGACTAGATGATCTTTAAAGGTCCCTTCCAACCCAAACCCTTCTGTGATTCTACATGTATGTGCATGGGAGATGCAATCATGCTACAGGTACAGGAGCCTATGTGCTCCTACTTTTCTGATACATAAAGTCAAGACCGGATGTGATGAAATCAAGTAACCAGTGCTGATTTTTTTCCAACACAGCATTTAAACAACATGAACCTAATAAGAAAGGGTCTCATGAACAAAACAGCTGTTCAATGAAAACCTTGTCAGTTCTGTGTCACAGGTTATTCCTCTGTCTTGTGTAGTCCATTGATGTCAGATTCCTGAAAAGCAAAAAGCACACACAGAGAAAATGGGAAGAGAGCAGGTGATCATTGCAGGGGCTCTGCCAAAAGTGTCTGCTCTGTGTATCCAATTTTATACCCTTCATATCTATAGTATGTTATTGAAGTCTGATTCCCTGCTGCCTTGCAAATCATTTGCATCTCTGCTCTGTGATATAAAAGGCTTCCTCACTGATTGGGTAGCTTTTTATATCTTCTCAGCACTTGGGTTTCTCTGACATAGATATCTATGCAAAGTACAAGGCTTTTGAGGATCCGGCCCTTGTAGTTCATGCTTTGTTGCCACAAGGTAAGTCAAAACAGCACTCGTGCAAAATGTGGGAATGGGAAGTCATGGGGAGCATTCACCCCGCTCCTGCCTGGCATCTGAAGGTTACTGAAGGCCAGACTAGATCCAGGCAGAACAAGTCAGAGTAGTCCCTAGCCCTGCTCCTCTGCGAGCCGCTTGCCAGACAAGATCACTCTAATTCAACTTGGGAAGCTTGTCCCGTGCCTCAGCTTGCATTCTCCTCCGGTGGGGGAATGGTGGCACCGATGGAGAAGTGCCAGGGTTGGCTGCCAGCTGGCTGCCGGAGGCGGCTTTGGATGAGTGCTTCTTCCCATGGGTGGTGTGAGCTCTGCCCTGCATGGCTGCGCAAGTGAAGCTCGTAGCGGCTGAGGATCTGGTCCTTCAAGTTAAAAGGGTTGAAATATGCATGAAGCGTGAGGTGACATTTTGAGTGTCTCAGATCAGAGCACGGACGTTACTGAATTTAAAACATAACTGCAATTTCCTGACTAATGCCAAGGCACTTTTATATTCATGCAATGATTGTTCTTTATTCTTAAAATAGCCCATTTTGCCCTGAGGCACAGGTGATATCTTTATGATGATGGAGCTATGTTACCCAGCACGTTACAGCTCAGACCGTTGGTTGGCGCAAGGGCTCTTTATGATCAGCTGTCCTTTTTTATTATGTCTCAATTTATAGAATGCTTTTGTAGCCTGTTTGTTTGTGATTTTCTTGAACAGGAATAGAGCAGGGAAAAAAAAGCAGAAAAAAAAGAGGTGCACTAGAGAACCAGTCCTGTTGTCTTTTACTTCCTGTAGCTGAGCTGTACAATTTACCATTGTGTCTCCAAGTTTCTGAGTCCATTCAGATAACACGAACAGTTAAATTGCTTCAGTAGCCTTATACCTCTGCAGAGAGTCAGTCTGTTTGCTAGCATCCAGGGCTTTCTGTGGTAAAGTGTACAGGATATTATAAATGAGGTATTCAATGAGAATGAGATAACAAAAAGAACTCTGAGACATCTTTGCTATTCATTCAAAATAAAAACCTTGCACGTAGTAGCAACCACAGAAAACTGAAGGCGGGCTTTTCAGCAGAGTAGGAACATCCCCAGCCTGGGTGTTTGCTGCAGTAAAGGTGAAGGTGTAGGGGATGGAGCTGTAGCTGCGGGTGTCACAGAGGTAGGACAACAAGTCGGGGGAAGGAGAGAGCTGGGAAAGAGATCTGCTTCTGGGTGGGTGCCCCTCTATCTCCCTCCACCAGCAGTAGCTGCTGCCCCATGGACCCTAACCCCTGGCTCCACACTGGCAGCAGCAGCAAGCAGCACGGCTTCCCCAGGATCTGGCAGAGGCAAATGGGATCGGGACCAAAGCTGTTTTGCTGCCCCCAGGAGCCCGTTGCTTTAGGCTCCTGCCTGCTTTGCCTATGAGCTGTCTGTAATGCCAGGAATTACCTTTGGTTCTGCTAAGCACAAAAAAGGTTAGATGAGAGACTGTAGTAATTACAAGAGTGAATTGTCATGGCATAGGAATTTGTGGCAGTGATGCTGAGGTCCCAGTCGGGAGGAGCATTTTAAACGACATACCTGCTAATTTGCCTGGAACTAGCCTGCTTATTAAAAAAAAAAAAAAAATACTGCTGCCTGCATGCAGTGAAACCCAACTAATCAGCAGTTCCTAGAAAGTTTGACTTGAAAGAAAGGCAGATTCAGCATCCAGATGAGAGATGTGCACAGCAGTTCTCAACAGGTAATGTTTTGCTGTACCTCCCGGTATTTGTGTGCCTTGGTCGCACCTCCTGTTTGGCACAGACCCAGCCAGCCGTCTTTGCTCTAAAGGCTGTATATGGCATAACTGTGGTTACACCTGCAGCCGTTCTCCTTGCCCCATCTTTTTATCCATCTCTTTAGCTGTGCGTAATCTGGTGTGTCACTGGGGCAGGCGCAATGGTTGCCTTACTCATCTGTACTGTGCCCAACACGGGAGCCTTCGTCAGAAACTAGTAGGTCCTGCTGCAATACAAATAATAATAACCAGGAGTGGTATGATCAGGCATGGATTTACTGGGTGGGAACAGGGTATGTATGTGTGGGAAGAGAGCAGTGAGGAAGGGGAGAGTAGTTTGAGGGCTTCTAGGTGATGGTATCCCAGAGATTGGTGCCTCAGCATTTCTAGTTTAAATAGATTGACATAGCAGGTACCATGTAATTTTTTTTTTTTTCCCCTGCCATAAATCAGACTTGGTGTCTGACGGAATAATCACCAGAATTCCAGCAAACAACACACCTGCCAGTGAACAGCTGTTTCTTCTGATGACTCATTGTATAACTCTTTGTTTGCTGGATATCACAAAATGCAGTACGTTTGATGTTTGTGCAATTTTGTTTTCCTTCTGATTATTTTAATGTGCATCTCCCTCTCTCTTTCTCTGCTGTATACAGACGTTCGTATTCACCCCATGGAGCCTATGCCCAAAGCAAACTTGCCCTCGTGTTATTTACGTATCGACTACAGCATCTTCTGACTGCAGATGGAAGCCATGTGACTGCTAATGTAGTAGACCCTGGAGTAGTGAATACTGATCTCTACAAGCATGTCTTTTGGGTTGTGAAAGTGGCCAAATGGATGACAGCCTGGCTATTTTTCAAGGTATGCAGTTTTTTAAATAATTTTGTTGCCGTGCTCCTACATTGAGAGCTGTAGTCAGCATGGAGCTGAAGGTGTTTCGGAGTTTATCATAATGTATGGTATTTATTGCGTTTCTCTGTGCTGATGAGATGTACAAAACTGATAAAGACAGGCCTTTCCCAGAACAGACACTTATTTTAAATGGAGGGAGTGAGCTGTCATTGTAGGGGAAGGGAATGCCTTTCACTCTCTGTGCCTGGGCACTGGTTATCTCTGCTCTGATCTATCCATGTGCCTTTGTGCATGCATGGGGCAGAGCATCATCCTAACGTGGAGCCAGAATATGCAAAGTGTTCCTCGGAAATGTCTCATACGTCCTCTTACTGAGAAGCGGACATGATCTGGCATGGTCTACGTGTACGCAACACGTTATAGAGAAGAGGGCAAAGGGAAGAAGGAGGGTGTACAAAAATGGTGGACTCCAGGCTGTCTGGGTCCAGACACTAGTGCTGTGGGAGGTGGAACAATTTTCATTTAGCTTTTTCATCCTAACACATACTTGTAATGGCACCTGATTTTCTATTATCTATTCCTGGTCCGCATTAGGAAACTTAAAGCTGTTTGATAAAACCGATCCAGAACTAGGGCAGACCCAGTTACGGTCAACTTTAATAACATTTTGTAGTGGTGTAAGTAGATCAATCTGAAATCAGTTTAGCTGCGTAGGTGCAATCTCCTCATGCGGACAAGCCTTAGGAGGACATGTGCTGAGAAAATGTACTGCTTATAACTCTTTCGGAAAGTAGTTTTGGATTAAGTGAAAGGAACCTGATTCCATTAGAGAAAATTAAATGTCCTAATTAAAATGAAGTATTTTAGATCAAGGGGCATGTCCCACAAAGCAAATTAATTTTAAACTTTGATATGGAAATATCACTAGCTTTAATTTTAGAAATGAAACTGCAGGCTGGAAGAGTGGCTGTAAAATAAGATGCAAACAAATAAACCCATATTTAAAAAAAATAATAATATCTTCTAAGTACACCTTGAATATTGCAATAAAATTGTAATAGGAATGCTCATAATATGTAATGCATTCTTAAAGAAGCAGAATGCAGCTTTGCCAGACCGTATATATTAAACTTGTTTTGCCTCTTGTGATTGCCATTTTAAATATCAGTCTCAAGTGGTGGTGTTTTGTCATTGGACTTACTTCACCTTGCTAACATAACAGTTTCATGTAGATGTTTAGGTTGTGCTCAGCATTTCCTCTAGAGCCACAAAAGTCTGACAAAACTTCCATGTCTGAGAGTGAGAATTGAGTCATCTTGTTTACAGCACTCAATCCCATTCAGTTTTATTGGTGTGCCCAGGGAGACATTTTTGCGTTATACTGGCCATGTTTAGACACTGAATGGGATGTCACTGAACACAGATAAAATGAGTTTGGATTTATCACAAGAGGGAGTCTCATGCTTACAGCTTTAATAGTAATGCCACCGATAGTTCCTGATCACTTCCTATTCTTTGGATGAGATACCACTCTAAAGGAATTCTGCCTTGCAACAGGCAACGGACAGACAACTGACTTGCATGGAAGTGCGATGTGTGTACTACCTGAAAAGCAAATGCATCAATTGCTTTTTGAGTCAGAATAACTTCAGGTTTGGGTAACTGAATGCTTCAGTTATCGATGTTGAGATCTTCACGTTTTTATATAATGCACGATGTGTTTTTCCTATAAGTCAAAAGAGAGGGAAACTCTTACTTTCACTCTTCCCATCCTCCCTTAGACTTCTGAGTTACAGCTCCAACTTCTACTCTTTGCTTATTCCTTAAGATATGTGTATGTATTCAGGATTGACTTTGCCTTCCTTTCTCACATTCAGGAGCACTTCATCACACAGGTACGCCCTGTTCAGCTCTGGCAGAACTGCATCACAAGGCGATGTTTAGCTCCATGGCAAGCTCACGTTGAAAGCCTGCCTGGTGATTTCAGTAGCACTGTACTGAGTGCTGTAGTATCCAGCATTCAAGCCTGGGTGGGTCTTGTGTTGGACTCGTGCACTAGGGTAAATTTCCCCTGAGAAAAGTAAGAAAGCAAGTACGAGAAAATTCAGTTGTCTGACAATATTAACTGATAGTTGGTATTACGGATTTCTTCTCCCCGGGAATTTCGTTCCCGAGTGCACATATATGAATCTTCCTTCTAGGATTATGGCAGTAATGCAGTGAAAATGAGGTGATAGCTCTCTAATCATATTGGCTCGACTAACTTTTATCACCCTGAAGTATTCCGGAGCGTTTTCTAAACTCATGCAGGAAATTGCTTCACCCACTGCAACCTGGTGCTTGTGAGAGCCAACACAGCCCAGATAGCTCCGGTGAGGAAATGCATCACGGATTTATCACATCACATTCCCTCAGGAGAGAGTCAACATGTTGTCTGATTTAATTCCAAAATATTGTGGCAGAGCCTCCACTACCTTTAAATGCATTTCCACTAGCACTGGTCCCAGTTGAATTCAAGTCAGATACTTCCTAGGGCTTGCAGCCTGGCCCCGACTCTTGCTGGGCTGCTCATATTTGAGGTGGCTCAGTGTGGCAGACAAGGCTGTCGGCTCAACATCCGCCTCAGAGCCGCCTCAAGATATTTAGGTACTTAAGTAAATAAACCTACAGTCTCGTAAATAGGCCATGATACGTACATATAATTTACTCAAAGTATTAACAGCTTGAGTTTCTCAGAACTGTGAAACATTGTCTTCTGGTCTTCGTACGTAGCTCAGTAAAAATCTCTGCCAAATCTGTTTGGTTTTTTTTTTTTTTCCTCAGCAAGCTGCAGTGAGAGGCACCCCTGTAGAAATAAGATAGGCCAAGCTAAAGGAGCCAGTGACAGTCATAAAAATTGTGAAAGGAATGCTTGCCCTTTAGAAATGATAGTTTCATTCTTTCTCAGCTCGATTCTTTCTCAGGAAAGTTATTGTCTGCTGTGTTACTTGTTCTTTAAATTTCCGTTTTGCAAATGTTTTCTCTACATTTTTAATAAACAGGGATTGCACCTGTCACACTCAAGAGAGAAATTACATTTATTCCTCAAAAGAATAAATTGATTTCTATCCCTATGGCTTCTCAGTAAATAAAAGCTGGCGAGCTGTCACAGTTCTTTTCAGAGTGTAGTGAAATATGTTATCCCTTAGGAGTTTTTAACATAAAGTGATCTTCTTTTTGAAGACATAAATCCAAAGTAATAAACAATAACTAATTAATAAGAGAATAATAGCCTAAAAAGACATTGGTCGGGCATCAGATTGCAATTTAGCCAACTGTGCAACACACCAGTTTCAGTGATGGGTACTGTCCAAGCTGGAAGCCGGGAAGGTACCATTTCCCTCTCAAGTGTTTCTGCTTCTGCTACAGATACTGAATATTCATACTTAAGCCAGATGGCCTCTGCTTGTGATACAATTAAAATGCCTTAGAGCAAAAAAAATGTTGGCTCTCATTAATGTCCAGTGGCGGGGACTGTTCTGCTTCGTACGACTTCATTACGCCATCGAAGTAGAGACATTTCCTGCATAGCAGCGCTGTGAACTTCCCCCAAACTTTCTTTATGACAAGCTGGGTGAATGTGTCATTATCAGATACGGAGTATTTGGTCCTTTCAGCTGCCTCAGATTGGTATTTAGGAAGGCATTGTGGAAGGCAGACTACACATCAGATCTTGTCTCAGCTGTCATTTCCAAAGACATAGTGCCATGTAAGTGATTATTGACTGACAAACTGAAAATAAGTAGGATTAGTGACACCGCTGGCCTGTAAAAGTGAAAGGAAAGGCTTCAAGAATACAGCTTAGAAATCAGCCAGGATAAACTAGTTAATTTCTTGTATCTGTCAAAATAGGCTTAACTTTAGCATAATTTTCCTATAACATTTTTAAAGAAATGCTTCCAGTCTGTAAGTGCTGATAGAAAACAAGATCTAAAGAACCTGGATTCATCATTACGCCAGAGGACATAGTCATGCAGGTCTTATTGCAGCATTTCTTATTCAAACTGTCCCTTTGGCACTGTGAATGTAGAAAATTCATTTCATCCTCCCCCCCCGAGGTGTCAGAAGACAAACACATCACCACACAATAACGCCAGCTGTACAGAACGAGAATAATTAAATTCTACAGCTGAAAGCAGCAATTCATCAGCATCAACATCTTCCGTCCATGTGAGTGTGTGGTCCTCACATAAAGCTAGTCTGGAATTTTCTCACAAGATGAAAACTCCTTGCAGAAACACGTCGTTTGTGGTTAATTTTTACAAAAGGCTTTTCAGATCAAAAGTGGGATTCTGGTCAAAATCAGAGAGAAGGAAACTGTCTACTTTACCCCAGTAACTCTGGTGTTTAAACAGGTCCCATGTTTGTATGCATTGGTACAGGTACAGGGATTTAAGCCTCAGAGCCATAGGGCTTCTTTTTTCCATCTAATAAATATCTGCTTATTCATACAGCCATGGGATGATTCTAGGGGGAAAGATGGAGGGACCCACCTGAGAAGGATAATGAGCAATCCACCTCTGAGCCACCAAATCCTGGTGATCTGTGTATTTTGCTTGGATGTGAATCCCTGCACTTGGGTAGGCACCCAGGTCCTGCCTGTTAGTGGGGCATGTGGATGCAGCTTGCCTGCTTTATTTATTCTAACTGCTAAATAAGAAGGCTTTGGAGCATGGTGTGTTTTGTGTCTGTCCTGGTTAGGATAAGACCCCTCTGAAGGAGGCTGATTCAAAGTGCACACCTACGCAGTATTGGACCCTGGTCTCCACTGAACCTGTCGTTCCCCTGCGGTCCCAAGATAGCATTATTTCTGTGTGTGTTTTCTCAGGTAGCTGAAATATTCATTATAAGAGACACATTGAGAGTTGCCGGAGAGTGTTTTGATGGCAGGAAAGTGAAGGATTTGTATTGCATGCCTTGGTTTATGCATGCAAAAGGGTAAGGATGCTATATGGGACAACACAAAATGA